TGGTGTTGTTTCAGGTGGTGAAACATGTTTGTTGTGTTAGTCGCAATTTTTGTTAAGCACGACCTGCACAACACGTCACTCTGGTTTACATCGTCTTTTCTGAATCCAAAATACCTCCAAATAATGGAAGATGATTTATGTTTTGGCACCAAGTCAGATTCTGCACTACCACCGGCCGCATTATCTCCCGCACTCATTTTCTTTCTTTTTAATTTCTCCACTGTCTCTGTAATGTGTGCGCGCTGTCTTTAGCGGTGCATTCAAGGGCACTCGTAAAACTGATGTTCGTTGTGTGACTGCCAGAGTTGTATGCAGGGCGGGGCGAGCGCGGAGAGGGGAAATCTATATCGTCTATATCGTTGCTTTTTTCGATAGTAATATCTTGAAAGTTCATATCTAGATATAGATACGATAACGATATATCGTTCAGCCCTAGTCGTGATGAACAAGGGCTGATTTAGAAGGCAGGATGGCAGGGTCTAGCCCACACCAGCGCACCTGCCCCAATCCTTGTTGCCAATTTTCTAAAAACAACTAGGCCCAATTCCCGGTTTAATTTTATTTATATCGCTCTCGCTTGGTAGCTTCTTGTGAGTTATTGCGTGTTTTCTCCGTGCTGAGCTGTCTTGCTTTGTGATTATAGTCTTGTCTGTGTATCGACCCGTTGCCTGATTTCCTAACTCTGCTCTTGGTCTGCGGTTGGACTTGGTTTGCAGCTTTTGATTGTGGTTTCGGCTTTGTTTAACAAATGACAATGGAACGTTTTACAACTGGACCCAGTTCAGCTTCATTACAGTAATATTATATTATTTTTTTTACCAGTCTTCCACAAACATTTTTCAGTTCAGTAGTGTTATAATCACCTTTCAATAGAAATATTTAGCTAAAGTAAAATGCTGTAACACAGGTTAATACAGATTCTTTACAAATAAAGAAAATCATAATTAACTCTGTTTTTCCATAGGTAGATGTTCTTGGTGTTATTTGTATAGCTTGTCTGATTTTAAGGCCTATACAGTGTTTTGTATATCTAATGTTCCCATAACTATCTTCCACTTGTTACTCATGGTCGCTCACCGAAACTAAACCTAGCAGAACTTGTATATAATTGATAGCTGCATACCCATAATGTATTACCTGCCCACTTGTACAGTGATCTGGACAAAAGCATTTGCTAAATAAATAAATGTAAATATCTAATTATGAAGTTTTTTTAACTTTAGGTTAACTTTTCCTCTTAAAAAAACACTACTTCCCTTTAGCAAGCTGCTATCGGTAAATCACTCACTTCAGTATCATCAATCAGGTTGCTAAGTGTAGCACGGAAACGTTGGTTACGACACGTTTCTGGTGGATTGCATAACCCCCATCCCATAACAGCACCATTTGAAGTCATGACCCTAACACTTTCAGAAACAGACATAATCGGACATTTTTCTCTTAAAATACAATATTTTGATCATGTACAGTACAAGTCAAAAGTTTGGACACACTCCAATTTTTATTTATTTGTACTATTCTCTACATTTTAGAATAATCATAAAGACATCAGAACTATAAAATGAAAGATATGGAATTATGCACCGACCAAAAAGTACTAAACCAAAAAAATAATAATAATTTGTTGGGGGGTTGGCAGATCTGTGGGTTTGAACTCAGAAGGTTGCTGGTTCAAATCCCTGGGTCGGCAAAGTGATCCCACCATTGCGCCTTGAGCAAGGCCCTTAACCCCAATTGCCACAGGGACTGACTGACCCTACTGTCTCCTCAGCGCCAGTTTCATGAGTAACACTGTTACCTCACAATTCCACGTTTTATATTCCAGCCCCCATGTTAGTGGAGACGGCATGTTCTCCCCGAGTTCTATGGATTTTCTTCCCTCCAGAATGTTCCCCTGCTCTGTTCTGGTTCCCCAGGACTCAGGAAAGGCTCCAAAATCACTGAAACGCTATAATGGATAGCCAGTTAGATGAAGGACGGATGTATTGTTCTTCTGTTATGCGTAGCGTCTGTAATTACGCCTTTTATCAATACTTAATGAGTAAATATTGCAAAGACTTTCAAGTAGGAATATAACACTTCATCCCTCCCTTCCCTGAGAGAAGAGAGAATCATGTCCCTATTTACAAATTTAATACGTTTATCATAATAAATGCTCAAATGTTTAGTTACGATGATGCAGACATTTTAAGTGCAAACCACTACTTTTCTATTTACCAACATCACAATATTGTACAAATGCAGACGTTGAATCCGCAACATACATGTGTTTATATTTATTTTAACAGTCAAAATGCAAAGGTAAAATGTGAATCGACTCCTCTATTTACGTGAATTTGTTGTTGTTTTATCTTAGAACTTAAAAGTGTTTGAATTGCAAAAGAGCATGGCATCTGTTGCACATGTGCCGATAATGCAGATCGGCAGCCCGAGATCAGCGCTGATTAACATTTACGTTCACTTCTGTCTTGCAGACACTTTTGTCAAAAGTAATGCAAAAGTGAGACAGCTCTGTGAATGTAGAGTCTGCGTGTTCTCTTTGTGTAATTGTGAGGTCCCCCTCGCCCAGTATGAAAACTAAGGTGAACTGTGTTGCCAAACTGCCCTTTGCATGGTGTGTGTGTCCTGTGATGGGTTGACACCCCATCCTGGGTCTTGCACCTGTTGCTTCAGGGATTGACTCCAGACCCCCACGACTCTCTATAGGACAAGGGGGTATAGAAAATTGAGTTGGCAATAGCAACATACATGAATTGTAATAAATGTTTTTAGAATGAGGAAGTGATTTTAATTAAGTCCAAGAAAGCAGCCATATATCAATAGTTCTCCTCTTCCAAAATATTTTTAACCGTCTGAATGCAAGTGCAGTTGACATACTTCCGATACGGCTGTGCGATGGTGTGAATTCCAGTCTCATGGGTACTATAGCTAATCGTCTTAATTGTCTTTGACTAAAGCTGATCACAACTGGATAACAAACTCATCAGCTAGAAAATAATTAGCTGAATCAAATTAACATCTCAATGCAACACCACTGGGAATATCAATATCTTTCAACTCCTTTTTCTTTTGCAGTTTTACGCTAAAGTTTTTGTGCACTTGGCTTTGGATAGCTACCCCTGCTCCTTCACTCCTTTGATTTAATCTTTATGTTCCTCTCAGTGCATTGCATAACATTGTAATTTATCCTTCAGTGTGATAGTTTTAGGCTAAGCCCAGCACAGAAAGATAAGCACTGATCAAATGTGCATCCTGGCCATTTCTCTGTAAAACTGAACTCGAAGAGCTTAAATTAAAATTCAGTATATTTTGATAGTCTTACCATGCAATAGTGATATAAAGAAGAACTCAAACACTAAGATTTTATTCGGAATGATGCACCTATTTTGGAACATTCCTTGCTATGTTGACTCTCCCCTTTCATCAGAGATCACCTTATTAGAGCAGTTCCTGCACAGCATTTATATGCCATTCTAGAAAATAAGCATAATGTTTAACATGTTAGATAATAGAAACAGAAAAGAGCTATGTGTATAGTACTAGTCATAGGTCTGGACTGACCTACCCATAGAAAGGTTTATTTGTACTATTGTCTACATTTTAAATAATTCTAAAAGTATAGTCCTGTGTTAGCTTTCTGTTCCTGTCTCTCATGTTAAACGGGTCGGTGCCGACCCGTGTCTTAAATCAGCCATAAAATACCCTCAAAACAATTATTTATCATCCAACTGGTTTCTTACCTCTTGGTTACTTTGTTAAGCTTCCTTATCCATGAAAAGTTTGGTTTTAATATTTTTGGTGTGACTTTCTGGACCTTTCTTTTAACAGCATACCTCTCATTTTCAATAAAAATATAATGGTAAAATAAACCTCAAGAGAAATATATAAATGACCTGAATTGGTCTTATCTTGCCTTACATTTTTTTTTATTTTTTTTTTAAATAGAGGTTCCTGACAAAGTCGAAAAGCCTTGATACAGTACAAAATTTATGTGGTGCTTTTATGCATTATAAACTTACAAGTGGGTCGGTGCCGACCCTAACACGATAGCAAGGTTAAAAAATAAAGTAATAATCTGTGGGTTGGGACTGGTCTGTGGGGCAGAGTGATCCCACCACTCGGCCCTTGAGCAAGGCTCTTAACCACTGTTGCCCCAGGGACTGGCTGACCCTACTGTCTCCTCTATCCCAGTTCTATGAGGTGGCCTCCTGGGATGCTTTTCCAGCTGTCCTGAAGGAGGGCCCAGATATGCTGAGCTCTCATTGGCTGCTTTTCCTTCCTCTCTGGTCAGACTCATGCAACACCGTGTTTTGGTCAGGTGGCCGGGTCATGTGATGCGACACACTGTCACTCTCCTTTGCAGGCAGCTTGGCGTGCCCAAACTTTTGACTTTTGACTAGTACTCATGTTGTAATGCTGCCCTTAAGCATGAGTCCTTTAGCGAATGACCAGCAACATAACAACATAAACTGTATGGTAAACCATTTACAATAAGAAACATTTGATAGACGTGAGATTTCTTTAATAATTCCTGGAAATAGACAAACTTAGACTGCCATACAGTAGCAAAATACCCCTTTTATTTTAGCCAAAATAAACTCAGCAAATGCAAACATTATTAGTAAGCAAATCAATACTTTCTAAATAGCTAAAAGATGATAACTGTGTTTGGGTCCTAAAATCCCAAGACAGACAGGGGGGAGGTTTCAGTAATGATGGTGGTTGTGGTTGTGGTAATGAGGATGAATACTGATAGTGGTTACATATATCAATGGTATATGGTCTTCATAGGACTTCGGTCTTGAGCCAATTTATGGGAAAATATTCTAAAATTGTGGAAATTGATGTGTATGAAAAATGATCATTCTAACAAATTCACAAATATGTGATAACATATATGTAGGTAAGCATATATATCTTGGACATAAATAATCCACAAATCTTCCTCCTATATAAACAGATTATGGGAACTATGATTTTGACCATGATGAAAATGATTAATTTTATCTAAAATGTGTTAAACCACAGTGTGATGTCTTGATGTAATAGGATGTTGGGCGTGTTTCTGTGTGTGTAATATAAGCTGATGTCCTGTTCTCAGTCTAGGACGGCGGGTTATGGTGAATGACAGAGTAAGCATAACCTCCGCACTGTTTCTGTTAGTGAGAAGGTGGAAATGCCTGCTTTGGTGCTTGTGTGTGTGATCCTGCTGCTGGATGTCACCACAGGTAAGACAAAGGTCCAACAGAGTAATCTGTCCGTGGCATCTGGTGTGATTCTAGGATTTGACCCGCAGAAATACAAGATGCCACCCCACCCCCCCAACATTAAATTTTCTGAGTGAGGTCCTTAATGATAAAGTTTGCTGAGCTGGGGTAGTACGAAATATCTACAAAAACAAGGGACAGATGCAGAACTACATACTGAATAGCCACAATCGCGTATATGGTTTCTATTTAGGCAGGTTAATATTGTTACATGCTTACAAGCATTATGTCCAAATCAGCACAAAATATCTGTTGTAAAATTAAGGAAGGAGGTTTACTGTTACTGTTCTTTTTGGTATTGGATATCTATGTTTAGCATATTTTATTACATCTGTATGCTTTAGATATAACTAGCATAAAAGGTAATATATTCCCTATTTATACTGCACAGTCAGTGAATCTGCCAGAACAAGAATATCCCTGTATGTTGTACGAGTATGACTGCATGTGACAAATAAAAAACTTTAAACTTTTGAACTTTGAGAATCATTGATAGTTTTACTTGTATTAGAAACAATGCATTCCTGTTACAGTGTTAATTTGAAAAAATCGATAATGTGATATAATGCAACACTAGCTAATGTTGGACAGCAGGGAGGCGTGGTGGCTCTGTAGGTGGGGCTGTAGCCTTACAGGATAAGCAGTTGGAAGATGGATAATGTCAGAAACTGTATGGTTTTTCACTTTGTGTTTTATGATTGTTGTGTAATTCGTCCGTTCCCACAGTGTCCAGCCTGCCTAGACTAAGGAGCTCAATCATTGGAGGGCAACGCGCTGCCAAAGGAAGGTGGCCCTGGATGGCTCAAGTCTACGTGGCCAAAACTGCAGACTTTGGCACTGATTGTGGCGGTTCTCTAATTAACGAAAAATGGGTTCTCAGTGCTGCCAGTTGCTTCAAACCGTAAGTGTAAACGCACAAGAGTGCAGGATGTGTTCCTGCGTTTTGCTGTCTGGCTGGTAGATGTATCCAGACAGTGCAGTGCAGATGACAGTGCTGTGGGTGAATGGTCTGCAGACAATGGTGCAGTGTGTGAATGCTCTGAAAATGATGGTGCAGTGTGTGAATGCTCTGCAGAAGATGGTGCTGTGGTTGAATGCTCTGCAGACGATGGTGCAGTGTGTGAATGCTCTGCAGACGATGGTGCAGTGTGTGAATGCTCTGCAGAAGATGGTGCAGTGTGTGAATGCTCTGCAGATGACAGGTGCAGTGTGTGAATGCTCTGCAGATGACAGTGCAGTGTGTGAATGCTCTGCAGACGGTGGTGCAGTGTGTGAATGCTCTGTAGATGTCAGTGCTGTGGGTGAATGCTCTGCAGACGATGGTGCTGTGGTTGAATGCTGTTGACCCGGGGATTTGATCCACAAACCTTCTGAGTCCCAATCCACAGAGCTGCCCCCCATAACAAATGAATTTATTTTGTTTAATACATTTTTTTAATTGAATAATTCCATATATGTTATTTTGTGTTATTTTATGGTTCGATACGTTTACAGTTAATCTATAATGTAGATAATAGTACAAATAAACCTTTTTATGGCTGTGTGTATCCAAATTTTTCTCTGGCACTGTAACCCAGTAACACACTGTGCTATATATTGACATGACATTTGTTGAATGGGTATTTGCTTTGTCTAGGAGTTTCTATGCCTGGGCAATATCACTGCACAGCTGTGTATGTTTTAATAAGATTTCTTGCCACAATGGCAATAATCAATAATAATAATCAATTTAAATTGTATGTTTTTTTCCAGAAATTTTATTAAAGAAGATTCACTGGTGAGACTGGGAGCATACTGGCTGTCTATGGAGTCTGATCACGAACTCCAGTTCGGGCTGAGAAAGGTCATCATCCACCCCAACTACGCTGAGAGCTCAAAAGGGGACAACATTGCCTTGATAAGGCTGGATGGCGCGGTTGCCGCTTTCACTTTTGTGGAACCGGTCACCTTACCCAGTCCAACAGATGTCTTTGACAAAAGCTCTGACTGCTGGATAGCAGGCTGGGGTATGACAGGAGAGAATGGTATGTTTCTATTGTCTGTCTATTTTTCATCACTAAAGGATTCCATATTCTGTTTGGCCTATAAATCTTCTAAGACCTATAATTATTCTATTCTTCTAAGACTCAGTCATTCTAGGACTTTCTGTCACTAGCCATGTTCCTCACAGTCTTTAAACCAAATTTAAGACATAGGACTCTGGTGTATCATGAATATATCATTGAAGTTACCGGCTCATTCTGTTGATGGAGGTGTTTGATGCATCACTTATTATACATTCTTATTATTTTATTCATCCTTGTATTTTTCTGAAATACCAAGACTAATAGAGAAATGCTTCTCTCACTTTAATCCTTTAACCGTGATTGCCCACAGATTGTCTGAGTAGTATCCATCCTTCTTTGTTCTGTGTTGCAGTCCTTCTAAAAGAGCCGGGAGTTCTTCAGGAAGCCAAGGTACCGATTGTTCCTGATGAAAAATGCAAGCGTTGTTTTAACAATCTTTTACCCAACATGGTCTGTGCTGGTGGTAAAGGAAAACTTGCCTGGGAGGTAAGCTCAGCTGTATGTTAACCAGTGTCTCCCTTCATTATTTCTGTGAAATGACTTTACCCGAATCTAGAACATAATCAGAGGGATAGTTCAGGTCCAGAAAGTAAAAATCCAGACCAAGATTTTGTTTCAACCAACCAGTTGAGTACACTGTGACTGTGACTCTTTATACTCAACTGGTTGGTTGAAACAAAATCTTGGTCTGGATTTTTACTTACTGGACCTGAACTAAATACATCTGGAGATAATCTAATAAGTGAATAGGGACAAGTTGACATACCTTTAAATGACCTGTGTGTGTTATTTCCTTAGGGAGATATAGGAGGACCACTAGTATGTCAATCTGGGAAACAATGGATCCAAGTCGGAATTGCAAGTTTTGGCATCCTCACTCCAGATAACAAGATATGTACCACGTCATTCTACACGCGTGTCTCCAGCTATATGGATTTCATCAATAACAATACCAGGCTTACTGCTGGGTAGCAGTGCAACATGAACCCTGAGCTAGATTCTCCTATTGATGCATAACGTTTCTTCCTCTCCTACCGTCCAAATTCACATTCCTCCCTTATTGCTTATCCCATCACCCCATCTTTCCCTTTTTTACCCCCTTCCCTACTTTATCACCCATTACTTTGCGCTGTACTCTGAAGTATTGCTGTCAGCTCATAATCAGTGCTTGGCTTATGAGTTATATCTGGGCAATAATAAAAATGGAGCATTTAAATTGAGGTGGTCTGTGATGGTCGATATTTAAGTGCACAGGCGTGAGAAGACGGAGCTCATGGTGCTGAATGATGGTTTTACCAGTAACCTTTGCTGAAGTTCTGTTGTACCATCAGTAGCTATCAACAGCTAACAGTGGGAGTCTTTTGGATAAACAGTTATAAAGGTGCCTCTGAGCCATGGTTTTTCTTACACCAAACAAACAAGAGGGGGCACTGTTCCATCACAGGGCACTCACACACTATTCATTCACTCATGCACATCAATGGCCAATTTGGCAATTAACCTCAGAATGTTTTTGGACTGTGGGCGAAAACCAGAGTACCCAAAGGAAACCCCACGATGACTCAGGGAGAATATGCAAACTCCACAAACATGTAATGCAGGCGGAGACTCAAACCCAGATCCCAGAGGTGTGAGGCAACAGTGCTAACCACTGTACCAGAATGCCACCCCATCCTTACTGTTATTGTTATTATGTACTGTATTATGATTGTTCTGACTAACCTAAGACTTCAACTTAAAGACTAACTAGCAAATGTCTCTTGTTCATAACCTGGGGACTGTCTCTAAACTATCATTTCTTTTTCCATTTTTTTCCTTTTTCGTTTTTATGCTGCCCCTTTCATTACAAGATGTGGGGAGCGTCTTGGGGATCAGACTTCATCTGTTCCACCTGAACCTTTTACATGCCCTTATATCAGACAGCTCCATTTTTTCTCACCCAGACTTATGCTGTTTTACTTCTTTGCATTTGCACTCTTGATGATGGCAAAATGGCTCTTTTCCCATTGCACCCTAGCTTTCTGATAAACCCATCTCCCATTCACACTCTCTCTGTCTTCTAGTCATCCTTTCGACGTGTGGTTCTGTCTCTCATCCTATCTGCGTGAGTTGTTTTTTTTTTTTTTTTTTTTTTTTTTTTACTATAAAGTTCCGTTTTTATTTTCTAAGCATTTTATGTTGAAACATCATTACAACATACTGGTCACAAACACGAATTCAACTGCTCAACAGTTTGGGGTCTCCTTTGTTGTATTTGTTTTGTTTCTTGACACACCAAATGCTTTCAGTGAGTGAAAGGTCAGGACCCGGACTCTTCTACCACAGAGCCATGCTGGTGTAATACACATAGGATGTGGTTTGGCATTGTCTTGCTAAAATACACAAGGCCTTCACTGAAAAAGATGTTGTCTGGATGGTAGTATATGTTGCTCCAAAATCTGAATGTATCCCTCAGCAACAATGTTGCCTTCCCAGATATGCAAGCTGCTAATGCTCTAATGCATCCTCATACAATCACGGATGCTGGCTTTTGAACTGTGAGCTGATAACAAGCTGGATGGTCCCTCCCCTCTTTAGCCCACAGGACGTGGCGTCCATGATTTCCAAAAAGAATTTGAAATTTTGATTTGTCAGATCACAGGACAATTTTCCATTTCGCCTCAATCCATCTTAAATGTGCTCAGGCCCATAAAATTCCCCACTCCCTTGGAACCTTCGACTCTTGGCCCTGGGGGCGGCCTGAACACCAAGTCCACCAACTCCCACCCAGTGTAGACCGATTGCTCTCCTGAACCGCAGTTAGGTATGGCCAAAGGACTAAGGGCTGGTGGTGGTCCCTGTCGTGCTAGTGGTGGGTAACCAGGATGGCGATCTGTGTAGCAAGTGTGCGATTAAACCGCTCCACCAGCCTCAAAGTTGCATCCCTGGTCGCTAAGCAGCTCCTCTGGCACATTGAAATGGCAGAAAAACTCCTTGACAAACTTTTCAGCTGTGGTCACTGCGCTTTGACCTGTGTACTAAGTCGCCTCGGGCCACTTAGTAAAATACTCCATGGCTACAAGCACGTAGTAATTCCTACGGGAAAACGAACCCAGCACGTCGACCCCCACAATTTCCCTCGGCATCAGACTGAGGAGGGCTTTGGGCGCCTTCCTCTCCAGCATTAAGGAGGTGCACCGTGGCCTCCTCATCGCTCTCGGCGTTGTGCTGGGCTGCCAGACTCACTGGCGACATTAATAAGATACATATACAGTAAGTACAGATGACGATTAACACTTGCAACTGCCAGAGAGGTACCAGCAGCAGCACGGACAGGGGAAGTCACCAGTACACACATCAAACACCACTGGGGGGTGATTACGAACACACCACAATAGGAGAACAAGATGTTCAGCATTTCACAAGAACATAATTACATATCATTAATTACATAAGTATTTACACTATATACAATCGAGTGCAATGCATGCTGGTCCGCAAGAGATTAAACCCCATGACATTACGAAAATAATTTCATATCCAGACCTATGCCGTTTTATTTCTTTGCATTTGCACTCTTGATGATCCCAAAATGACTCTTTTCCCATTGCACCCTAGCTTTCTGATAAACCCATCTCCCATTCAAAAACACTCTCTGTGTCTTCTAGTCATCCTTTCGACATGTGGTTCTGTCTATCATCCTGCGTGAGTTGTTTTTTTTATATATAATGTTCCTTTTTATTATCTATGCATCTAAACCATGAACGATTGCAACATAAAGGCCACATACACGATAGCCACATGCTGGCTATCGATTTATCATGCACATTCTGTTGATGACACTACTGACAATTTAAAAATTTTTATATCATCCATATCGTTCTATGTACCAAAAGGAAATAAATTCTTTTGTCCAAGTCCAAGAGAGGACATATGTTAGCACAGTGACTGTGAAATTATATGCCAAATTGCTGAACCACAAACACTCAATAGACACTTTCTGCAGCTGGAAAAGTCTGTTTGAGATTATGTGAGCAAACACCTATTAAAATAACATGAAAAGTTTGAACAGTATGAGTAGGCTATGTGTGATTGCTCAGAAGAGCTATTCTTCCAACAGTGTATGGACATGAAACCAACTGTCAGACATTCTTTCGGGTTCCAAATTGTGTTGTTGTGCAAAGCTTTTAAATCCTGACTCATTCAGTTGTAATTATGAGATACACAAGTACAGATCTGCAATGAGTTGATGCCCCGTCCTGGGTTATTCCCTGCCTTGCACCCATAGCTTCCATGATAGGCTCCAGACCCCTGTGACCCTGTAAAGGATGAAAGGGTACAAAAAATAGATAGATGGATGGATGGATGGATGGATGGATGGACAGACAAGAATAGACCACTGCCTCTTATTTTGGATCAAAAGTTCTGATAACAACTAGCATCTTATTTGATAAATTTTCATTTAAATATTTCTAAACGAAATACCCAGGCCAGCTGGGTGGAACATTGATTAGCACTGTCTCACACCTCTGGGAAAATGGTCTGAGTCTCTGCACCTGTTGTAGCGGACGAGCGAGCGAGCCGGGAAGCAGGCGAGGCAAGCCGAAAATGCAGGCAAACGGGGTTTATTTGGGTGGACAGGACCAAGACACCTACAAACATCACAACAATACAATGACAGATCTGGGGAAGACTGACTCAGACGAGGACTAAATACAAAAGACTAGGCAAATGAAACAGGCAACAGGTGAGAATAATCAGGGAATCACACGAGGTAACGAGGTGGGCGTGGCACACATCGGGAT